ACAACCGTTTTGCATTGCCATTAATAATTGGCATACTCGTATTTTTAGTTTAATTGTCAAACATTTCATATTTTCTGGACATACGCCACATCTTTCTGCCATTGGTGTCGACAACAACAAAGTTCTAACCTTAATCCTGGCAAAGAGTCGATCGGTTACCAAAATTGGAAATTCTTAATAATTATAACAACATTGGGGTGCGGGCGCAAGGTAGTGACTATTTCTTGCATTTCGTTACGAAGGTAACTTCTACGTTCTTAATACGAATTAGAGATGACCGTTTTCCTCAACTGGATGTTTACAACCGCCATAACTTTCGACCACCTATTTACTTTTCAAATAACCTCTTCTCAATTCGTTCTACCTCCAAACGCAAACAATACAAACGGTGAACGAATGAGAAGGTTTGTGTTGATTATTCAATTACAGTACTAGCATAACACTACATCTCGAATCAGCATCTACATTGTTCAATATCGTATTTATATTTGTTAGACAAACAACTTAAATATTATTTAATACTATATCTCTAGCAATTGCTTTTCAATATTATACAGACATAGCCAAACTACGACTTAGTTAATGACAATGGGAAGGAATTGACTGTATTTATGCTAGGAAATTTGTGATTTTGAATTAAAAGGCTCTAGATCTACACTAGGGAACGGTTTCGGAAACTATTGTTAAGTCCGGAGCACAAGTGTAACCCGCGTAACGACTCAAATTTGAGCGAGCGGAAAGCGAGACATTTTCATCAAAGCGCGTAGACAATAATAGTTTTTCGCTATGCTCCGGACTAACAGAACCGGGAAAAAAAGTGCTAAATTAGATCTCACGAAAATCGGTTTCCTTTAAGATGTCACAATTCATGAATAAGATAACTTTTAAAGGTTTCTTCTATGCACCTTATCTTTGATAATTTACGAATAAAATTCTAAGGCACTGTCCTTTTTTTTTAAAAAAAAAGAATAACTTTGAAATCTAATTATAATGAGTTCAATTTATTTAATTATTAATCTAATTTAATCAATTACATTCATAATTATTCATATTTTTAGAATTTTGTTGAATACGATCTTAATTTTGGATTGATATTGATTCCGAATTTTAGTTTCGAAACTAACTTTTGATTTGAATTTCGGACACTTCGGTAGGTATTATAATCGTTTTTTCATTATTTTTCATCGTTATTAAAATTAAACATCAATATTTAAGGTGTTCGTTTAATTTAATTCGGCAATAACCGATAGTATATTAACAATTCACATTCTGCTCATTTTTATCAAAACGATAGGTAATAAATATCTTTTAATATTCTCGTTTTGACGCTATCTCTTAATGCTGGTTCTAATATAATAGTTTTTTTTTT